GATTCAGCTGGAATTTAAGGTAAAAGGTTGAACCGCTCAGTTATTTCTCCCCCCTTTTTCCTAACCTGTGTTTTCCTCCCTTTCCTCCTTCCTCCCTCATTTTTCCTGGTGTCAGAATGACTGATGGTGGCGAGCAGAAAACGAGTGTCCGGCATTATACCTCCGACAAATAGCCGGGGCCCGCTCGGCCAGGCCTTGGACCAGACAGAAATCAATAATTCACCATTTAAAATCTATCAAAAGAAGATTCTTTCGAGCGCGCCCAGGCAGCCTGCGTTCCCTGCCACCCCCCCGATGCCGGGGCCTCGGCGCGAGCACTGAATCAGACACTTTGTAGTTACAACCAGTAATCAATAAGCCAGCACCTTCACAGATCTTAACCGCAGTCGCCTCGGAGTGGTGATGGATGGCGAGGAAGGTCGCGATTCATTTTGTCAGGCCATTAAGCCGGCAAATTCTGTCCACTTCATCCTGCAGATGATCATTTTTCACACTTCATAAGAGGCAGAAATGGGTTGAGATGGAGGAGAGGAAGGGAGGAAATGAGGGGACTGCAGCCAACGAGAAGGCAGAAGAGAAAAACGCTGGAGATGATTGAGAGGGAGAAACTAGGCTCTGACGGGAGACGCTAAGAGAGCAGGAAGAGCCACAGCCAATCGGTCCAGACGCTGAAAAAGGGGACAAACACACAGATAATTCCTTTAAACTCCTACTGAAGGATTACCACGGCTTTTGATTAGTTAAAACCTCTCTTAACTGTAGGAATGAGCCAAAAACAACAACAAAAAGGGGGATTTGTGAAGCTGAAAGTCAGCGCTGAGGTTTACAGTGTCTGTAGGGAGTGTAATCAAATCAGTCAGGGGAGAAATTGATTTTTTTTTTCTCCCCCTACAGAAAGAACTTTATCGCTATAAAGCACACAAGGGCAAAGTAACCATGAACAAGTCCCACTAGTCAAACATATTATGTTTACAAAACAGCAAAGTGGTAAATTAGTTGAGCTATAACACACTTGAGTTCAACACAGAGAAATATTGTGCTATTACTGAGCCTGGTGTTCGGTTATAATAGCCATGAAGTACTTAACTTTGTTCGATTTATCAGCTTAGAAAGTGTAACAGAGTCAAGAACCCTGTGGACCAACGTTGGAAAGGAGAACCTTCCTTCCTGCCCTCTTTCGAACACCTTCTGTCGTTTGCATATATGCATCTGCCCCTCCTTTTCCCACCTTTTCCATTCCTCCCTCTCCTGGCCCGACTCCCAAAGACCCACGGTGTTCCTGTCGGGTCGGTCTCGGTTTGGAAAACAAGCGACAGCTGCTGTGTGTGTGTCTGAGCGTCCCTTCGTCGAGGTCTCGCCCCATATGTTGGTCCTCACCTGCTGGCAGGCCTGGATTATGAGCTACAAGCCCTTATTAAAACTGGATTTGTTTACCCTCCCGCCTGCTCGCCGCCGTCAACAAAAACAGGACGTCCATCTGAGGCTCGCCAAGAAACCACGAGGAAAGCTGAACTTTGTGGGTCAGGGCAGAAAGAGGGTCAGGACACAGGAATTGGGGTTATTCATTCAGCTATTAGCCGAGTCTGGTAACGGTGCCAAGGAGGAAAGACACCAGAAATTACCTCAGAGAAGCTTTTGATGTTTTACATCAATCCAGGAAGGCTCATGTGGCCATTTCTGAATTGTTGAAGCCCATTTTCTTGGGATTATTCCAGATTATTGGGTTCTAGCCATCATTTTGCGTCCCTAAATCTTGATGAAATGAGATGTTCAGGTTTCATGTTCTGTGGTAAAACAGAGCTTAGTTTGTCTTCCTTTGATTTATTTAGGTTTTTATTTCTTTTTCTTCTTGCTTTTCCCCCTTTCTCCTCTTATTCTATCCTCATCTTTTCTCTTCCATTTTGTTTTCATACAGTCCAAATGCTGCTGAGCTTCGTTGTTGTGGCCGTTTCTCTTCTCACTCTCTTTTATCCTCGTTTTTTCCACCTTAATTATGCATCAGGTCAGTTCAGCTTTTGCTCATTTGTGCCAAAAAAACTGGACAATAGCAGCAACAACCTCCGTGCAACAACGGCATCTTTCTAATGGAAATGAGTGTCTGGCAAGATGTCGGGTTTGGGATAGGGAAGGAAATACAA